TTATTATTATTATTGTTATTATTATTATTATTATTGTTATTATTGTTATTATTGTTATTATTGTTATTATTGTTATTATTAATATAGATGGGTAAATGCGTTGTTGCACATGACACAGCCGGCGTTGTTACCCTTTAACCTCAGATACATGTATTTATGCTGTTTTTATGCGTAATAAACGGAATAAAACACTGATCTTGGCACGTCGCCTCCAGCAGGAAGTGATCTGCTGAGCAGGCACTGCTCTCGTTAGCTACCAGGTTCATTTGACGGGGAAAGAAAAGTGAGCTAGAAACAGTCGAAAATGACAAACTGTCCCCACAGTCTGTGCGGTCAGGGAGATAACGACCTTAGAGAGTTGATACCCAGGCTTACGTACACACCGCAGTTTGGAAACAACGTCTGGACTTCAGGTAACATCTTACTAGCTGAACTTGAGCTAACTAGCTAAAACCTTTGGGAAATATCCAGAAAATGTGGAGGTGTTCAGGCGTCCCCATGATTATTGATGCCGCTCAAATACATCCCAGCTAATGAGACACTAGTTAAGTGTTTCAACTGAACCAGAGGAAGGACTAGAACAATGCTTAGCTTAGCACGGCTAATAAGCACGACGACATCGACAACAAAAGTCTGTTTATAATCCACTTTTAGTGTATCTTATGGTTTTATTGAAACTAGTCTTAATTTTTCTGACCCCAGTATAAGAAAGAAGTTAATGCAATATCATTTTAAAGCGTTTTTATTATTCAACTGGCTGCGCAAGCCGTCACTTTCAGTTCTCCACTGTCGCCACGCTGGTCTGAAAACTACTGTTTTTAAAAACCAGAGAGACACGATTAACCAACTGGCCACAGCTGGGTTGACCAGTCTCTCCCCTTAGCACTGCCCCTTAATCCACTGGACCACCCCTCCCCTCCCCTGCAGCTGAGCCACAAACCAAACCCTGCTGCCACTGTGACATTTCCTACGATTTACCCACCCAGGCCACTCCTGTTCTCTTGAATACCAGGGGCCTGAGGGGTTTTTTGTCAGTAGGATGGGGCTTAAATGTGGGTACCTGGGTCCTGCTGGAGGCCAAGGTCTATGGTGGGTAGGTGGTGGAATGTGGTTGTAAGATAGCAAGCTACCGGGGGACTTGACCAGGGTAGGGTGTTGGTCCCTGGGGCCTGCTGGAGGTCAAGATGGTGGAGGGCGAATGTGTGTGCCAGGGCAAGCTACTGAGGGAGTGGACCAGGTTATGATGCGAGTACCCAGAGCCTGCTGGAGGTCAGGGTCAGGCTTCAGCTTTCTTTCTGTCTGCTCAACTGGTTTAATCCCAACATCTGCTCCAGTCTGCACGCAAAATATCCTTGGGCAAGATACTAGATACAGGTTGCTTTTCGATGCATATGCAAATGTTAGCTAGAAAGCAGTGCTCAGAGTAGAAGAACACTTTAGAAGAACATGTCTATTTATTAATACTCAATAATTCCACAACCAGGAGCTTAGCCTTTATTTTCCAGGCTATTTATTTATTTACTCTAATTATTTCTTGTTATTAAAAATGCCTAACTGCAACGCACACATGATCAAAACAGACACAGAACAACCAATTTTATTCACCTTTTAATTCTGTCTAACTAAAACTGGTTTGAATCCATTAGTGTGACTTTCAATAACTTATAACAAACAAAAGTGACAATATGCAAATATCAAGAATTGCTGGATTTCTTTGTGTCTACATGACTCAACTACGTGGTGCAGCACATAGTGCAGCACATATGCTGCACCACGTAGTTGAGTCATGTAGTTTTCTTTATTTGAATTTCAGCAATCTCTCTCCAGATATTTCACTGGTGATTATTTTTAGTTATAATGAGGTGATCATTGTTATTTATTGACAAAAAGGTCAAAAGCTGTGGTGGAAAAAGTGGCCAGAAATGCACAGGAAGGATTATCATTACCGAACAGGTCAGCCAAGATGTTTAGCCGTCTTTTCCTGTGCTGAGTCACACATGTGCTGTGATGAAACTTGTTAGACCACAAACATCTGTAGTGTTTCTCATTTTCTCCCTGAGAACTGTGGATGATGTTTAATGATGATGTTTAATCGAAGTCTGATCAGTGGGTTAGTTTGATCAGAAATTTTCTTGCTTTTTCTTCTTTGTATACTTTGAACTAATGAAAAAATGAATCTGGCGCTCACACTGTCTGTGCAGTCTGCCAGCAGGGTGTCAGTAAAGAGCAGTGTTCAGCCCATAAGATCAGTCTGTGTCCTTCTTATTGTTTTGGAGGTAGAGCTCTGTCGGCATGTCAAGTTTCTTTCTGACAAATGCAGAATCTTGCAGTAAAATCTGCCACTGGATTAAAATAATATTGGAAAACAACCTGATTGCAAGTGACTTTGCACGTTAGCATACATTAATACATTAATCCTCAGTTTAATTTATGTTTTGATATCTGCCATCATTTATCTTTCCGGCGTTTCCATTGTTTATATTGAAGAGAAACAATGATGGAGTGACTGAGCGCTCAAAGTGCCTGTTAGTGTTGGTGTATGAGGTGAAATAGTCCCACTTACTTTTAATTTCAGTTTTCTGTGAGTCACAGCTCAGCAGCATGAGATGTTCATTTATAGCTTTTTGTGGAAGTACATGTTTGCAGATTACATTTGTTTTCTCACTGATCAAGCTAGAGAGGGAGAGCTAGTGTTCTGCCTCATGCTGTAGACGAGTGGCTCTACGAGTCCACAGTGTTGGCTTCACTCAACTATGAAGGCAACACTGTGTAAAGAAGTGCTGTCTGTTGTTCAGGGAGGTTTATAATAAAGTGTGGGTTGTGGTGGGTGGTGTTGTGGAAAGTAGTTCCTGTTACATTTGTTGTGGGTCAGGATGCAGCAGGCATGTTAACACTCACAGCTGTGGTTCACATATGCAGTTTGTAGTTTTGTTCCTGGTGAACTCTGCGTGAACTCCCAACCAATCAGCATTCAACAGACTTCTGTGTCCAGCGGGTAGCGGGTGAACACCCCTCTCTTTATGAATTACTCTCAGCAGTCAGGCCCTCGTCCTCCTTCAGGAAGGCCAGGTTTGTGTCTGCTCCTGCTGAGATCTTTGTGTGTGATGCTGACTCGTCTCCTTTGGGCTTGAAGCATTTTTCTCGAGGCTTCTGCAGCAGTAAATCTTTCTGCTCTATTAGCCTTATTCACTGTAATCATTTATAATGTTGTTATTGTTATTAGGCGTGGAAAATTAGTTTAAAAATCCAAACATGATTTACACAACTTTCCATTAACCTCAGCGCACCAAACTACCAGTTCTTATATTAAAAAATGGGGAAGAAGCATCGACAAATTCATGGCTTAAAACTATCACAGTAGAACTTCTTCTTTTCTTTTGTTCTCCACTTTCTTCAGTTTACTCTGTTTTTTTTTTTTGAGGAAACACTGCACACCAGCTGAGATGTGTCATGTTTTTCAGCTAACGTTTTCTGCCACACTAGCTCTTTGCATTTAGAGCACAACGTTCAACTTTGGTCTCGTCTGACCTGAGCACCTTCTTCCACAAGTTTGCGGCGTCTCCTACATGGCTCATGGTAAACTGCACTTTTTATGTCTTTCTGTCAACAATGGCTTTCTTCTTGTCACTCTTACAGTTACAGTTGTCCTGTGGACAGATTCTCCCACCTGAGCTGTGGATTTCTGCAGCTTCTTCAGACTGACCCTGGGCCTCCTGGAAGCTTCTCTGACCAGGATGACCATGTCTTGGTAGGTTTGCAGTTGTAGCATGCTTTCTCTATTTTTGGATGATGGAGTGCTGCTTGAGATGCTCTTGGGATATTTTTGTATAACCTATCTACAACTTTATCCCTGTCTGGTGACTTCCTTGGTCTCCATGATCCTGTTTATTAGCTAATGTTATCTAACAAACCACTGAGGCTTCACAGAGCAGATGTATTTATAATGAGACTAAATGACACACAGGTCAACTCTATTATCTAATTTGGTGACTCTGAAGGATCTTGATTGCACTGGATTTTAATTAGGGGTATCAGAGTACAGGGGGCTGAACACAAATGCACTGCACACTTTTTAGATTTTTATTTGCTTAAAAAAAACAAAACGATATTCACAAAGTTTAGCTTTGAGGGCATCATTTGCAGTGAAAACGTGATAAATCACTGTGTCTTATTGCAATACTCAGAATGTTGCAAAATGCTTATAAATCACATTAATCTACTATCATGAGGGAAGTATTGTGATAAGAGCCTATCGTGGGCTGTGGGATTCCCGCCTCTAGTTGCCCACCGTATTTATTCGCTCATCTGCAACATTAACATCCATCAGCACAGCCCCAGCAGGCAGCCAGTGTAAACCACAGTGATTCAGCTATCTCTTTGCCACAGTTGCACTGGTGCACCTAACTTTTTTCTTAGGCTCACCAGCACAAAAGTTAGGCATGCCCACATTTTTCAACCGCATCCCTTAACACCGCAGTTTTACATGTGCACTTTTTTTGGGGGGAAATTTGCTGTCCATATAAACAATATTGATTTGTAAAAAGAACGCCAGCTGCTGAACCTCATCTCTGTACACTGACTCATCGTTGCTGCTGGTGAGTCCAACCACGGTTTTGTCATCAGCAAACGTGGTTACAGCTGTGTAGAGCGGTGCAGTCATGTGTCAGGAGAGTGAACAACAGTGGGCTGAGAACACAGCCCTGAGGAGCTCCTGTGCTCAGCCTGATGGTGCTGGAG